TGAAATAAGAATAACCCTCAAGCATTTGGAACTAAATACAGAATGTACATATTTTCCTGCAGTCTCCCTTGATAGTACCTTTGGGTATGTCTACACTACAGCACTAATTCGAACTAAATTCGAATTAGTTAATTCGAACTAAGCTAATTCGAACTAGTGCATCTAGACCTAAAAACTAGTTCGAATTAGCATTTTGCTAATTCGAACTAGCCTGTCCACATTGAGTGGACCCTGAACCGAGGTTAAGGCTGGCCGGAAGCAGTGCCGGCAGGGCATCAGAGGAGGACTTAGAGCGTGGAGCTGCTGTATCAGGCTAGCCGAGGGCTGTGCTTAAAGGGACCCGACCCCCTGGACAGACAGTTCTCAGGGGTTCCCCGCTTGCTTGTCTACCTCGATGAGGGACAGCAAAGCAGTCCTGGCTTGGATTGCCCTGAATGCCCACACTCGGCACATCACAGCACTCGGCCATCAGCCTGGCTGCACTTGCCTCAGGCTGCCATCCGGGGGAGGGTCAATTGGGGGGCTGGAGGAGAGCTTCCACCCCGAAGAGCCCGCAGAGCCACCCCAATCCTCCCCATTGGGGGCTCGTACCCCATTCCTCCCTCACCTCCTTCCACTTACCCCTCCCTAGCCCCCCTTCCTTATGTACAAAATAAAGGACACGTGTGTTCAAAAATAGAAACTCTATTTAACAATACTCAGGGTGGGGCGGGGATTAACCTCTGGGGAGATTGGGAAAAGGAGGGGGAAGAGGGGAAGAGAGAGGGTGGGAGAGGGGAGGGCAAAATGATCAGGGGTTTGGAACAGGTCCCATATGAAGAGAGGATAAAGAGACTGGGACTTTTCAGCTTAGAAAAGAGGAGACTGAGGGGGGATATGATAGAGGTCTATAAAAGCAGGAGTGGTGTGGGGAGAGGGTGCATAAAGAAAAGTTCTTCATTAGTTCCCATAATAGAAGGACTAGAGGACACCAAATGAAATGAATGGGTAGCAGGCTTCAAACTAATAACAGAAAGTTCTTCTTCACAAAGCAAAGAGTCAACCTGTGGGACTCCTTGCTGCAAGAGGCTGTGAAGGCTAGAACTATAACAGAGTTTAAAGAGAAGTTAGATAAATTCATGGAGGTTGGGTCCATGAAGTGCTATTAGCCATGGGGTAGAAATGGTGTCCCTGGCCTCTGTTTGTGGAAGGCTGGAGATGGATGGCACGAGACAAATGGCTTGGTCATTGTCTTCGGTCCATCCCCTCCAGGGACCCTACTGTTGGCTGCTGTCGGCAGACAGGCTACTGGGCTAGATGGACCTTTGGTCTGACCCAGTACGGACATTCTAAGCTCAGGGCTCAGGGTCGGGGGTCTCACTGGACCACCCTGATTTTCATGCAAACCTGCTCTTGGGTGGCCAGGCTAGCAGCTATCCTGCCCTAGACGGCCACTTTCCTGTGCCTAGTGCGGAGGTCGTGGATGAGGTTCACGATCTCGGCACTAGATCAGGTGGACACCCGCCTCTTGCGGACCTGGGTAGGCTCCTGGGATCCCGGGACCAGGCTTGCGGAAGAGGCGGAGGGCTGGGTGGCAGCGGGTGGCTGGCTCGTGCCTGCCAGGTGCAGGGTCTGCTGGCTGGGTGCTGGCAGGCTTGCACCTGGCACGGGCACCGTAGTCAGCCCGTGCCCCTTTAAGGGCTCCGGGGC